CGAGATTGCCTAACCGGAGCAGACGAAATCAGTCGCCGCGATCTAGACGATCATCATTTGCGCAGGTAATTACACCGAGAGTCTTACAATTATTCAGCACACAGAGCATTTTTTTAGATAATGTTCCGTACGGGCAGAAAATGAAATAAAATTCCAAGCGGGGACTTATGGATTTTTAATTGTGCTTAATTCGACGACGATCGACACTTGTACTGTATCAGAAAATTGTTAGCAATTCTTTAAAACTGTACGACCTGTAGAAATCATACGACTCTGACTCTCTGGGTTTTACAGAATTTTATCGAAACAATCACCTCTTATGGACTTCGACTCATATGATTCTTGGAAATAATTAGATGAAAGATATTCTAATGAGGTATCGTTCATTTTCATTTTCTACGTTAACCCAGCCAATTTAGTTGTACTTACGACATCGACGGAATACCTTAAAATGCAACATGTCTGAAGAAATAAGAAACAAAGATGAAATTAATTTTTTAAAGAAGGATTAGACGTCATAAACCAAGAAAAACTTTTGCAGTTTACGGTGTGAGAAATTAAGAACACATGTTTCAATCGTACGTCTATAAGCTTATACGAGAATATGAAAAATCGTGGTCATAAAAAACTAGCAAGTATCTCATAGAATGAACGATCAACTTCTAGAACATACACAACTCTAATAAACAAAAAAACAGGGACACAATCAAAGTCCTATTATACGCTATGAAAGAGCAAAGTAATCTGTCAGCCTGTTATTTAGTTATGAATTACGTGAACCGGCACAGCGCCGCTATCGAGATCGAGGTGGAGATTAGACAGCGAAAAGAATGCCGCACCAGGTAATTTTAAATATTCGACGTAGCATCAATGGTATGCGCAAGTATACGTACACGAGCATGTCGGAGAAATACCGAGACCGGTTTGCAACGTAATGACATAAGGTTGGCCGATGTGACGTCACTTGGCTACCTTTGCTGACAAAGTTCAGGTACGCGCGGTGACTCGTACCCGACCTTCGATTCATTGCAACTCGCCGGATCGAAACGAACTTGAAATTCCCGCAGTTGCAGTCTCGGGTTTCGTTGATCTCGATTTCCGCGACGAGGAAACGCGACTTTGTCTGAACGCGGAATTCCGAGAGGAAAATGGAAAATTACTTTGCAATTTTTGTTGCTCTTTCGATGTTAAGATTAGTTTAACAATTAGGTACAGAATTTAGGCGCGGGATTTAGTTATAGAATTTAGGAAAAGAAAAAGAAGAATTATTGTATTAAGATGGTCGGAAAGTAACATCGCGTTCTTCGCGTAAATAATTGAAGAAAATCTCTTATAAATATTAAAAAGTCGTACATCATTTTTCCTTGAGAAACGAAATTACTTTCCGCATATCCAAATAGTTCAGGAAGTTTAGGATAAGGTGACATTGTAGATCATCGTACATTTTAAATGTAAAACAGCAAACTCGTTTCTTCGAGTTGTTGGTTAGTCTGACTATGAATCGCTGGTTCTACTGCATGTTATATACTTGGTGTTTTCGGTTCAAAATGTTCCTTGAAATTTTTTTCGAACCAACCAAACCACAAATACAGCTAACAATATTAATATTATAATTGAAACTTCATGACTTAAATTTACATTTTTCTTTTGTCTGACCACAAACTGCAAGCTCTACTGTCTACATTTTAGATAGACGTTAAAATGAAAAGAAGGAGGTCTGACCATGAAGAGCCATTTCTACTTCGGCTTAAAATAGCCTGCCGGCAGAAAGACTTTATGAAACAGCGTTGTTCGTGGAAAAGCCACAGGGAATTAAGGAATAATTCGTGGGGGCAGTGAAGTCACGACAAGCTTAGCTTGTTTAAAATTGCAATGGCGTCTGATCATAAACATTCGCTTCCACTTTGTCCGAAGTGCGCGATTTCGTCGATAAAACAAATCTCAGCTGGCTGCCTCTCTGTCGATGAGACGTTTTAGAGAACGAGATCGAATGTTGTCAATATCGAGTCGTGAAGTAGTCAATATTTGAATCATTTTTCAGAATACTTGATAAGATAATTTCGCGGTGTTCCAGAGTTATTCCGACTACTCTAATTGCAATGTCACATTCGATGCTTAATCTGTTCTGTATCCTTACGAAATGTGCTTAAAACTCGCTGGGCATACAGCGTTAATCCGAGCAAACACGCTAATGCGATGTTCAAGTTCCTCGTTCAAGCTGGTATTAACTCAGAAAAATGGCGGAGGAAAATTGCTTTCGGTTATTTTCCGTCGCAGCGTATCGCAAGTCGAAATTACATGAGAAGTTAGAACACATTGGAAAACATGACTTCTAAGTAATACTGCTGATATTCGTACTTGTTTAATGTTTTCTGTTGCACTATTTTTAAACAACCGTATGTTCGAACGTCGCTTCAACCGGAATGATCCAATCTACAAAACTTTCAAGAATGATTCGCTTCAATCCCTCGATAATACTGATTTCCAACAATGAATTAAGATACGTATTGCATAATATGCATTATTTCGTTGATTAACACATTTGACAGTCGTTGTCACGTACACGTATCTTCGTCAAAAGTTTGATGTATAAAAATCTATGCACGGCGATTTTTAAAAAAAAGTGAATCATAATTATATTATAAAGAAAATTTATCCTACTTATGTTATTATTAAAGCTTATCATAATGGCATTATTAAGAAACCGTATCATAATTACACTATTAATACTTTGACTGCCGCGTCGGCCATATGTGGGTGGCAGAATTATTCAAAATACAATTTCTAAAGATTAATTTTCGCGCCAATCCATTATAATTTCTGAATTTTATTAAGACTCGCAAGAGATAAGAGTGTTGAAAAAGTAATTGATGTCAAAGTGTTAAAACGATTTGGCACATTCGAATAATGAAATCGCTTCATCAATATAAAAGAATATTTGTATACTAATGTTTGCAAAAAGGGACAGATTTCAAAGATCCACGGGTACCGATCGATAAAGGGAATAGAGTATCGGACACAGCGAAGGAGATCAGTGCCGATGGAAATGAACAAAACGCCGATATTGAAGCCGAACAAAGGGTCGTTTCTCCATATCCGGTGTGGAATCAATGAAATGGGAAAACCGATCGAACGGAATCAATGCGAGCGCGCCGAGTCGCACCAAAGATAGCTGGATATCCATCGTAATCTGTGTATCAGTGTCATAGAGATAAACGTTTCCTTTGGAATGTTATTCGCGCTGTCAAAAGACCACGTACAATCGACGCGCGGCTATTACTCACGCAGCGCACGCCTATGACACACTGCAGAAAACGGCGCGGCCGCGGCGCGGCGGATGAATTTCGCGCGAATCAATTTTTCCCCGGCTATATTGCAGGTATTTTCCTCTCTGCGCAGTCTCTCCGAGGAACTTGTTGCGCTCCCGCTGCATGATTTTCTCGGAACCCGCGTGAAAACGCGCCTAAACACTCCGCGGTTGCGCAACGCGGGCTCCGCTTCAGCTGCGGCCATTGTCGCACACGATTTATCACGGAGAAGTTCCGTAAAGAAACAGCATCGATCGAGAATCCCTTCGGTTCGACCCGCTTTTCGAAATCCTCGAATTCGTTCACTGCTTGTGGACGTCGAGATATTCGTTGTTCACTTTGTCACGAAGACATTTTAACAATACTAATAAGGTCGGAGATGGTAACTTTTAGGAAGTTGCTATTGTCACTTCCTTGCTTTATAGAACGGTCGGATAAAGAACTGAGAGGATGAATCGGAAATTAATAAAGAATCTTCTGTCTTTTTTTGTTTAAATTTTCAAATCATAGAACTCGATAATTTCTTATGATTCTCATTTGTTTCATCGTAAAAAGAAGTATCTAACAGGGAACTAATACGTTGCGTCTTTTTATAGTTCGTTGGAAAATGTCGTTGACGTTTGTTCTTTATGCATCAAAGACAAATAGTGAATTTTAGGAAAGTTCTCTATCATTCGTTGATAAATAACTGTTTTTAGAAAATAAGCTTAGAGTGGAACTTTTAGAAGACAAGCGAATGTTTCGGCTTTGTTGTACTCCCCGAGAACCTGTGGAATATTTGGTTTCAAGCTAGTTCAACATTTGTTTAAAGTTTTTCGGTGTACTACTATTTTTTACTCGCGTGAAGCAACAGCAAACAGTTTGCTCAAGTTATCCATTTTTTTTCCGAAACCTCTTCAGCTCTCGGCGAATTTGCTCTGCGCTTTCTAAGAAGTTCCAGTAGCCGCCGCACGATTTGTACTATTTGTTTTAAGACCTGCACTGCCCAATAGACCTGTTCTACTGCTTTGATATCCTTGAAGTACTTGTCCGACTTATTCTACTTGTTGAAACGCGCGCAACACCGGTTCGATTAGCTCCTTCATCGAGGCTGAGGCAGTCGGATACTTCTCATCACTTGTTTCAGTCTTTGTTACAATTGTTGTAAATTTGCAATCCGAACGAAACCAAATCTGATTTGATAATACTCTAAGCAATTATCCTGTAGCTAGTTTTCACGAATCTCTCAATCGGTCAGCACTAGAGCATCAAGAACAATCGTCCTAGTTCGTCAAACATTCGTAATCGATGTTGGCAATCAAAAGGATTCCGGGAAACTACAATCTCAAACTTCGATAAAGCAACCTCGAAAACGTCTATGTGAAAGAAGTCCATATTCTTTAAAGAACGCCAACCCGCACGTGCGTTGTCTATTATACCATCAGTCAACAGGCCAAGCCTATCAAAATAAATACTATGACAAACTCCAGCTCGGACTCAATAGATTTCGCTCATATCAGAAGTAACATCTATCAAAATACCATATCGTGAAGCTACGAGGCTTCTTACTATCATTTGTGTCTGGCCTTATTTCTAGTTTCCCAAGCTCCATGTCAAACATATTACTCAACCTCGAGCCCGGGGATTCTATCCTATCAGAAGCCAAATTCCTGCACAATTAAGCGCAGGAACAGACGTACAGAATAGACTTACCATCGCAGCGGTCTGCGAGATCTGAGGAGCCTCCTCTTCAGCCCCAACTGCAACGATGACAAGAATCACCGCCAGGAGGACACTTCCGGTACACCTCCCAGGCCGGAGACAGTTCCACTTGGTCCTCATCTTTCCGATCAACAACAGCTTCCAACCGAACCGTGAACCTCTGATCGTCACCTCGAAGACTAGGTGTCACCGTTGACCGGTCTGCTCTGTTGTCACAAGAACGCGGGACCACTGACACACGTGTTACCGTTGGCTCGCAGGACGCCGGGCGTCCTCTCGATCCTCTCGCGAACGGAGACCGGTTCTCTGCTCGCGGGCAGCTCGCGCGTTTTCGCGGAGGAAGGCGGCGTGCCTCGTGGGGAACGCGGCTCGAACTGACCACCTGGTGGCGGTCGTGGCCAGGTGTAGTCGGCGTTGGTCGCGCGGCAGGGTCAGTCTGAGACGTGGTTGCCACGACACTATCGATTCCGCTGGCCACCGATTCCTTCGGCACGCGTCTTTCTCCTCGTTCGTCGTCGACGGCCACGCACGGCTCGTTGGGTCTCCTCGCCGACGCGAGGACTACCAAAGAACGACGGTCTTCTCTCTCGAGCTATCTGGCTCCGGCTACTTAGCTTCGGGCTATCTTGCTTCAGGCTACCTAGCTTCTAGCTAACAATCCCCTGGTTACTTTGTCCAAAGCTCGGGCAAAGGACAACGGAAGAGAAGAGAAGCACGGAGTAAAGAGGCGCGCGGCCGCACGGCGAACTGGTACCGGTGTCTACCGCCACTCTGAATTACAATCAGTCTGCCACTGACTTTTATCGAGGCCTCCCACCACGCCGCGAACCTACTACCACCATCAACGTGACGCGGCCAACACAATGCTACGCGACCGAGAGCCTCCTGGAACTTTGGCATCGGGAACCGCGAATCTATTTCCCGGATAGGGCACCCGGGATTAGGACATCGAGATTAGGGGAATTGCGTGGGTCGCTGCGTGGATGATGCATAGGGATCAGGGAGCTGGTAGTGGCTACGGCAGTAGCTCTGGGATGACGATCGGAATTTTGATAATTTGCTGGGTTTCTTTTCTTTTAGGCGTTTATTGGTACCGCATTGTGTCCTGGGTTCGAGACCAGTTTTATGTGAGGAAGTGAAGTCGAGTGTTGGCAATGAAACTCTTCGATTTTCTGGTATTGCCTTTTTGGAGAATTTGTTTGGTCATTTTGAAGAGCTGGTAATAATTGTTGTTGGTTTTATTGACACTTTAGCTGCAGTGTCTTGGACGTAGGATCATTCTTGGACCTGGAAAAGTAGGGTCAAGCCTTTTTGCGATGCGAAGTAATTAGGATCAGTCTTGTGAATGTTAATGAAACACTCAGACTTTTTGGTTTTGCCTTCTTCGATATTTTCTTTGGTAATTATGAAGATTAATTATCATAGCAATTGTTGTCGCGAAAGATGGTCCAATTGATACATTAGCTATATATTAGCCAAGGTATAAGATAATTTTGGGACACCAGAGCAAGTGGTTGAACATGTAACTAAAGCAAACGTTTTGGAAAGAATTTGGTTTGTGGATTATACCAATATAATGACACTTATTCACAAATTACAACAATTTTTGGTCTCACTAAAGCAGGATTAACCATTTGCAACGTTCTTCTAGCAACTTTCTATCACGGGTTCAGGTAAAATGTAGTAATCATAGAAAAAGACATACTTCGAAGCTATGTACAGACTTAACCCTTGAGTGCTATAGACATTGGAACTTGCAGAACAACTATAGAAAGTCTCAAGCTCCCACACATCTAAATTTCACGTGCAGGTGTAGGATAAAGATCGAATTCAATAGTTTCCATTTCGCACCTTGGTAATAAAGGTTATTAAGCACAATTGATCAATAGAATGTATTGAAAACACGTGTTCCATAGGAATCAGCTGCCAAAATTGCGATAGAGATGAATGAAAGTTGAAAGCGATCTTCCAGACAGTTTAATAGCCTTAAGTATGTCAAGGATGAAGTGTAACAAGGTTTCTAACACAGTTTATCGTTTATAGAGAGTTCGAATTAGTAGTTGCAAGGAAGAAAAGTATGCGAAACAATCGAATTCGTGAGTATGTATTGGATTGGGTTCGTCACTGAACGAAGAGGGATGACACCGTTTTAAGCATCGGCGCAGGACAACACGCGTAACATTGCGAACACGTGCTCCGACTACAAGTCGCTGGACGCTAGGAATATGTAGGAATAGCTAGGAAATATCCTTGCAGCAGTGTGATTCTATTAGAATAGTGGAAGGATAATAACTCTGTTGAATCGATAGTGTTGCCTGCCGGAGCCGAGCAAAGCGAGAATGAAAATTGATCACTATGAAATGCCTGCTCGATCGAAACAGGTCGATGTCTTCGGCAGCTTCTGAATTTTTAAGCAAACGATTTTCTCTATCACTGAATCTACTGACTTGGTTCAAATGCTTCGCAAACAGTGTTACAATTAGCGTGCATTGCGTCGATTAGCCTTTTGCACTTGTAGGATATTTTTGGATCGTGTTTCAAAAACTCGAATATATTTATTCGCGAAGTGGCAAGTAACGCAAAGAAAATATAAAATGATAGAACGTTGGAAGCAATTGGTCTGTTTAAATAAAATTTATTAGAATACATTTATTTTCAAACGTTAAGAAACTTTACATATCGTTAACATATGAGTAAAATTTGATATTTTAATAAATATACGACTTTTTATTAAATTAAAAGTATATATTACAGTGAAGCATATAACATGCTGTTTATATTGCATAAATAAAAAAATGCAAAATACAAAAACAATATAAAAATAAGAAATTATAAAGAAATAAAATTAACATTTTCATTGACACAATACAAATTTTTATCTTATGTTAAGAAAGTTTACTGCACCCAAGACTAATGTATTTGTGTAACATGTTTCTTTCGTCGGTAAGTGCATATTTATATGTTGCATAGATATGTTGTATATTTTTGTTGTATATTGTTAACATGTATCTATTACAATTATTAGTAGTTTTGTTATGTCCTCTGAAAGTAGCGAAACGTTAAACTCTTTAATCGGTTGAGATTTGCATTTGTTCTTCAGCTTTTAATTAATGCTGATACAAGAATTCAGAACTTATTTTTCGTAAAATATGGAAATTTCTCATCGACCTTTTGACCTGCTGCAAATTAGCATAAAGAAACAAAACAAAAGGGGCACGCAAACAATATAGTTTACGTCAGAGATACAAACTATTTTCAGAGACATTCGACTATTTCGGCTGCGCTAAATCATTTATTCATGGCCTCGTACGGCCAAGGTACTTGCTGAATGGCCAGATGCAGTTTTCAAAACAAGCCTTTTTTCTTTTACGTTTGAGTCGCGGATCTTGGGATTAATACCCTTCAAAATGTCATTACCGGACCGCGGAAGTCGATGCGAATTCATACTTTCGCGGACGATATTTCGTTGTTTTCGCGAGTCAAAAAATGAATTACGACCGCATTAAACTCTCGGTAGATTTAGCCAAATCCAGTAAATCATAAAGTCTAATTTTAGTGGACCATTCTGTGAAAATTTATGAATGATAAATTCATAGATACCATAAATGCATAAGGTGCCACCATTATTTAGTTCATCAAGTTTTTTTTTTAATTTTTATCTAATAGAGTATTATAAACATCTATGTTTGCAATCTTTTTTTAGTTAAATTGAAGGCCCAAAGTGCGAAGAAGACACGAATCAAAATTTTGCAACGTGTGATATTTGGATGTCTCGATCCATGGGAACTCATGTGAAAATCGCGCAGTAACTTTTAGCCAAATGTTTTTATACTATTGAAAATTTTTAACTATAGAAAATGATTGCATTGTTCGCAAATGTGCTCTTGATGCAAGCGTGTATAGTTTTGAAAGCACGTTCGAGGAAACAGACGCCGCCACGTGGAGAGAACAAAATAAATCAGTGTTGTCGTGATCCATAAAATTTTACGTCGCAGTCATTAGTCGCTCTGCCGCGATAAGCGAACGACGAGAATCGCCGATACGATTGTAAGGCGAGCAACCATTTTCTTTCGCGTGTCGCGAATCAAAAAAACCCGCACAATGGTGTACGAGCCGCCATTGTGCGACACGGAAACGCGTGTCGTCCGGATAACTGCGATCGATGAGGATAAAAAACGAGACAAACGTTGAAATGCGTAGAGAGGAAGTACGTCAGAAACATTATTTGATAGCCGAAACAAATGACGCGCTAAATAGTTGACTAAGTCTGTTCGTTGCTCGTCGGTTTACGAGCTATGAGAAATTTTCTTATCGCGTTCTTATGGACTATCTTGGAATGACTCGTGTCAAAGGATTAGGAAACAATATCTTTGGTAATTTCTGCAGCTTGAAAAAAATTGCGTTTTGATTTAAACTTCCCTAATTAGTCAGAGATTTCAGTAAGTCAAAGGTAAAATTTAACCACAAAAATTGCATTCAAATCAATAGTATTATGCATATAAGTCGAATTGTCCTTCGAACAGAACGTCCTCGATGATATTCATTGCATTAAAGTTAGTTAAATAAAATGATTAAGGTTTGAAAAAAATCACTGTAAAAATAAAGAGAATTTAATATAATACGTTTGTATTGATTTGTACTGATTTAACGATCTTTATATTTTTCCTTGTTTGAGGAAACAGTTGATTGATATAGATTAAGCTTCGTTTACTCGAGTTTTATGATTGAGATAAAAAATAGTGTCTTAAAGATTGCACGGGTTCTTCCCTTATTGGTTCCGAGCACGTTGTTCAAGAAATTTCGAGTAATTTGTCATTGAGGTGGGTTATTGTCAACGCGACGGGTTGTTGAACTGCGAAACTTCGCGAACGATTACGATTTGAGCGATGAAGGTAAGCGGATGAATCTTATCCCTTTATCACGCGTCATTGAGAAACTTGATTTTGGTGGGGTTTCCGTGTCCGGTATTCATCCATCGTTGATTCACCTTACGATGAATGAATCAGCCAATTGGTGCATAATTTCAGTTTCGAAGCTCTTCTTCCGGTTGCGCACAAAATCGAATGGAATTTCAAACATTTCAATTTATTTATGGATTTTCGTAGCTTGCCAGTCAAATAATTATTCTCTGTTCGGGCAAACCAGTTGAACGATTCGAGATTTCGAAAACAAGGGAAACACGAGAATATTCTTACAGAAGTGCGAGATTTTGTGAGAAATGTGACATTTCCGTCTAAGAGAAACCTCTACAGTTTTGTCTCCTTTTTCTCCGATCTGGACAGGCTGAATCGATAACCCACGCAGAGGCAGTTGTGTTGATATAATTTAAACACGGCTCGCGGACCGCGAAGAGTTGCTGAAATCCGTCGCGTTGGGCACGATGCACAAACGGTTTTGCTGGGTCCGCGCAATAGACTCGCAAAACACGGTTTCATCCTGGCGAGCACAGTTTCGAAAACCTGTTTTTCAGCGGCGTTTACTTTATCTCAATACCTACGAGTGATTCGTCACGTCGAGCGATCATCGATTATGCAGAAGAAAGAAACAGTTGCACTGATTAGGACTTTTTCCATTGTAATAATTTCTTAGAAGAACAAGGAAATGTATGTGAATCGCGTACTCACGTTTACTCGAGTACTTAAGTATTGATGACAAAAGAACAGAATTTTATATCGAATTAAAAGAGCAGAATATCATTCATACTTATCTGGTTATTACTAGAAATCTCCATGACGAGTCAGACTCGTCAAAGTATATCAAGGGGGGTTAACAAATTACCTGCC